ACTGCAGTCCTGAATGGCTTCTCTACAAGACTGGAAATCAGGAACCTCAGGCCCCGTTTCTTCCCCTTAATTTTACTGGTTCTCTAGACGTCATGGAGAACTTTTTCCTCTATCTTATATGAAAACTGCTCTTAAACTTTAAAATCCTATGGGCAGTGAAGGCAGGGTCCATTTCTCCTAGCATCCCCAATATTATGGTGCCTTCCAAAGAGCATTTGTTGAATTAATATTTGGATTTGTAAAGAGCAAGTGTACAAGAAGTCAATGCTATTATGATTTAATTTCTCCATCATCTTTCAGTTAGCTGAGCTAATCCATATCCACATTCTTCAATTTATAAAGAACTTAAAGGAAGGAAAGTAAGGAAGAATGGAAAATGTTTTACATTTTTTTCCACACTAATGGTGACACAGGCTTTACTGTGTGGTAACAACCCCTCTCCATTTAAAAAAAATCCATATTCCAGTATTATAGTATCTTGGTCCAAATCACAGGAATGATCCAAAGATTTTCAATTTTTACACAATCCCAGAATTATATTTCAACTTACAAGTCTGTAATAAATGTATGATCCACATCACTCATAATCTTCGGTACTGGAGCTAAATAGCCACTAATTTAAAGGAAGAACATTGACTATAGAAAAAACAAAAGATCAATCTCCAATGTCCCCATACTGTAGAAGGACAGAGTATGCCCTGTGTCTGCAGGAGCCTGATGTTGGCTCCTCAGTAGTTAGAAGATTGTCTGCTTTCTTCAACCACAAAGTGAAGACTCTGTCTCAGCCCTTACTAGGGATGGGAGGAGTTGCAGGACATGCCTTGGACAGCAAAATGGCCATAGCTGCAGTAGAGGAACCTGGGCTGAAGCTCTGACTCAGTGTGGATATACCACATCTTTTTCAGTCAATCCATATGTGAGCATGTATATGTTTTTATCTACTTGAGTGTAAGCCTTAAGGGAAAGTTTTCCCCTTACCCAGGGTAAGTGCAATAGTGTGTCACCAGTAAATGAATATTTACTTTTGTTGCATATTATCAAGTTTAAGTTAACATTTTGAGAATGTTTGCAACAATGTTCTTAAGTAATGTGGGAAATAAATAATATTCTTCAGTAATACAATAATAAATTAAGTGATTTTGAGCTACTTTTAACTTGTCTATGTTATGTTATACTTGTTTTATTAAAAAATTTTGGACATGTTGGCCCTGGCTGGTGTTGCTCAGTGGATGGAGTGACAGCCTGTGAACTGAAGGGTTGCAGGTTTTATTCCCGGTCTAAGGCACGTGCTTGGGTTTCAAGGCCAGTCCCCAGTGGAGGCTGCATGAGAGGCAACCACACATGGATGTCTCTGTACTCTCTCCCTCCCTTCCATTCTCTCAAAAAATAAATAAAGTCTTTAAAAATATTTTGGAAGTTTTGTTTTACTTCGCATGCATGCTCTGGATAATTTGTATGAAGAAATTAGGACATTTGCAGCAGTAAGTGTATAATGTAATCGGTGCTCCAGGTACTCATTTCCCAGATTCAGCAATATCAACACACAGCTAATCTTGTGTCATCTATGTCACCCTCAGCCCTCAAACTATTGTGAGGCAAACAAAATAACAATATTTATTCTTTTCTGTACCTTTAAAGGTTGAAGCTCTTACTTACAAACATAACCAAAATACCTCAAGGACACAGGCAGTCTGAATTCCAAGATGACCTCCTGGATTCCTGATTCCTGGTGTACAAACATCTTCTTCCAGTTAATTCATCCAACACTAATCTAGGTACTGCTATGAGGGATTTGGCAGATGTAATGGAGGTCTGAAATCTGATATTCTTAAAATAGGGAGATTATCCTCTGGGAGCCAGACCTAGTGAGGTGAATCCTTAAATTGGATGGGGGCTTTTTTTGGGGGAGAGACATCCAAAGGATGAGAGGGAGGTTCTCCTGGCCAGCTTTGAAGATGGAAGGAGCTGCACAGCATAGCAAAGACCTAAGACAGACCTGAGAATGATCTCTAGCCCATAGAATGCTCCAAATGGGAACCTTAGTGCTTGAATTCCTGGTAACTGGATTCTGTTCCCACCAAAATGCGTGGCATTGGAAGGAGCTCCTGAGCTCCACACAAGAACAAAGCCACCAGGAACAATGATTGCAGAGTTGTAAGACTTCTGAACTAGGGATCCCAGTGACTCCACACCCAACTTCTGTCCTATGGAACAGTGAGGTACTGAATGTTTGTAGGTAGAATGTACGAAACACTGGCATTTTGTCAAAAGTAAAGTATTTTAACATATGTACTGAAGAAATTCCACCTGCAGATTCTTTCTTCTTCTTTTTTAAAAATGATTTTATTTATTTATACATACAGAAGGAACATAGAAAGAGAGGGAGAGAAACATCACTGTGTGGTTGTTTCTCTTGTACCCTAAACTTCCTGGCATGCAAACCAGGCATGTGTCATTTCTGGGCATGAAACCAGTGACCCTATTTTTCCTGGTCTGATGATCATTCCACTCAGCCACACTAGCCAGAGCTTTTTATTTTCTATCGCATAATTAGAACATTTAAGGTATAATGTCTTGGTTATATTTTCATATCTAATACAGTATTAACTGTTAGTTTTCATCTTGTGTGTTGCATCTGCAGGGGCTACTTATTATATAATGGAAAATTTGTACCATTTGACTACCTCCACCAATTTCACCTACCTTCCACTCCCCACTTCGGCAAGCACCAATCTCTTCGATTTGTGAGTTAATTTATCAGTGTACGTGTTTTAAAGATTTCACATGTAAGTGACACTACATAGTATTTGTCTGTCTTTTGAAAAGTTTCTAATGAAAGAACACCATTTGAACATTACCCCTTCTTTGACCAAGCACGTGCTCTTACCAATACCAAGAATTCTTCCTTCTTTATGGATGAGTGATGCATCTTTTTCCCTGAGTGGGTGAGTGTTTGTGTATCACACTGCCTTTACACATTCATTCATTAATGGTTGCTGAGGTTGCTTCCATGTTGTGGCTACTGTGAATACTGTTTCAATGAACATGGGGATACTTCTATCCCTTCATGTTAGGGATTTCCTTTACCTAACTACCCAATAGTGGAATGGCTGCATTATATGGTAGTTCAATTTTTTACTTTTTGGGGCATCTCTGTATTCTCTTCCCTATTGGCTTTATCAATTCACATTCCCCTAAACTCATTCGTTTTTGAATAATCTAAAGATATCCAGGTATTTAACTTTTAAAGTTAAGAAAAGAAAGACTGAATGGATTAGGCAAATCCACAACTGACCAACTTTTACATTTCTTCTACCACTCTATGTTCTCATCAGATCTATTTGTTTGAGTTTTTTTTTAACATTAACAAACATACCCCCAATGGAATGCCATGCTGTCTTCTTCAGAACCACAAAAGTGATTTGAGGACTTTCTATGTGTATTTCAAAACACAAAACTCTCACTCCTCCATCTGATATAGACAATAATAAGTGTGCTATCCCTGTCCTTCATACACTTATCTTCTGAACCGAAATAGACGTTATGCTGATAGAACACTACTTGGAAATTAACTCAAAATAGAAGTCAGCACACTGTCCATGCACATCAGGGATACTGGCCAACAGGCATTTCCAACCACAACGTGAAGACTCCACCTCAGACCTCACTCAGGGCGACAGAAACAAGTGCAGGTGCTCCTGATTCACCCATTGACCTGCCAATGGCACGAAATTCTGCTTAGTGATGAAATCTAAGTAATCTGCCATATCCTTCCCCCTTTTTACTTGCCTTTTTTCTTGTTCCTTGTGGAGTTGTGAGATTCTCACCCTCTTTGGTAATGATAGCTTCTCCTACAATCTATAATTGCACAGGCATGGGCAGGGTCATCTTTGCCTAAACATCCCCATTGCAACCCTGGATGGTGTGCCTCAGTGGATGGAGTGCCAGCCAGAGAGCCAAAGGGTCACCGGTTTGATTCCCAGTCGGGGCACGTGCCAGGTTTGTGGGCCAGATCCCCGGTTGGAAGCAATGTTAGAGGTGACCGTACATTGATGTTTCTCTCCCTCTCTTTCTCCTTCCCCTCTCCTCTCTCTAAAAAATAAATAAAATCTTTAAAAGAAAACATCTCTGGTGCAAGCATGAAGACTTCCAAAGAGCTGATGTTCCATTAATGACTACGTCAAATAAAAACCGTGAACCAAGAGGTCTGATTCATCATCATTTATATTATCAAACATTCTTGAAAAACATAAGCAAATCTAGGTGCATATCTTTACAGTTTACACAACAAATGACTAAATCCAGGGAGGAGAACAGGAAATGATCAATTTTATATATGTACCACATCTTCTTTATTCATTCGTCTGCAGATGTACATGTAGCCTGTGTCCATGTTTGGCTGTAACAGATCATGCTGGGCACAGCATAGGTAAAATAGTAAATAACATTGTAATAAGCACATATGGTTCAGATGGGTAGTAAACTTATTGCAGTGAGCACTTTGTAAGTCATATAAATGTCTAATTAATATGTTCCACACCTGACACTAGTATAATATTGTATGACAACTGTAATTAAAATTTCTTTAATGTGGCCAACTTTTACTTCATCTGTCTATTCACCTATATATTTACCTATCTACTGCTCCCAACTATGTTAGTGCAAACTTCCTGCTGACCTGGAAAGAGATTCTTATGCTAAAGTCAAGTTATCCTGTTCTGTATCACAAAAGCGATTAAAGGATTGCCAATCTGTATTTCCAAAGAAGAAAAAAGAAACAAAAAAAGTAAACATCACACTACTAATCTGATAAAGAGCAGTTACTGTGAGTTCCATGGCCTTCATAAGCCTGTGTTCTGAATCTACAAGAACATTCTGTCCAAAGGAACACTACTGAAACATTCACCAGAAACACCAAGATAAGCCAACAAGTTATTCTGCATATCAGGCAGCTGCCTAACAGGCCTTCTCAACTAAAGAGTGAAGACCCCACCTCGAATTCACTCAGGGCGTGGGTCGTGGCTGGATGTGGCTGTAGGGTGCCCACTGGCCTTCGAAGGACTGCCAGCCCTGGGTTCAGCTTGGGCCCTGGCTTGGGCTCTCTCTTCCTCCTCTCTCAAAGCCTCTTGATAAATACATGGGAAGGCTGTGGGCTCACTATCATTGAGCTTGGCCAAAAACTCAAGGACTTTCATCTTGCTTGTCTCAGCGTGGGCTCTTGGACCCCATAGGAACTCATAGCGTGGAGGATCTCTGTTGGGCACCTGCTGGTACACCAGGTATTCTTTCTGCACCAAATCTTGGGTGATAAGCTTCCTGGGTTCCCCAAAAATGAAGTGAATTTCTCCAGCATAGACACCCATCATATTCAGGAATTTCCAGACCTCCTCCTCAGGGGCGCGGTAGCCATTCAAGAAGATCATACTCAGGAGAGGCATCAGAATCCCCTTAATGGGAAATCTCCAAACTGTGCTCAGACTCCCATCATCGGTGTCATCTTGATTGTGCACAAGAGTGTAGAAGTTACCATTGGGCTTGACCTCTTTCACTTCCAGACCATACACCAGATCCATTAGGTCAGTTGCCTTCCTGAGAACCTCAGAAAAGTCCTTCCTGTACCATTTGTGGACTATCTTCAGCATGTCTGCCTTTCTAATGGGCTCCTTCTTTTTATACTGATTCAGTAGATACTGAACCAACTTATTTGCTTTCTGAGATAAAATATTCAGGCCAGGTTTCTTTGTAAAAGTTGAGGCCCCAGAGGAATTTTTACTTTTCCGAGCACGGCCTTTGGCTTTTCCAGCAGATCTTTCGTATGACACACCTGCAGTGGTACTGCTGGTGGCCGGGGCACCCGGAGATGCCTGGAGGGGGCCAGCACCAGTGGAGCTCGAGGGAGCATCCCCCAGAACAGAAGAGGAGGAGCCAGCAGCCCCTTCTTCCTCTCCTGCAGTGGCCTGAGCACTCTTAAGACTTTGGGCCTCAGCTTTGTTTTGGTGACGTCTCTCACGAGCACGGAGCTTACTCTTGTGACCACGAGGCATGATGACTGTGGGTCAGGACAGCAGACAGGAGTGTGGGCCAAGAAAGGTGATTTGGGCACCTGGTGGATGGAGAAAGAGAGGATGTGAGCACCTTCAACAGGTAGATTCCACCTTGGCTTTATTGAAGGCTGCCTCTGCAGGCCCCCCTTGAGGGTGCTACTCTAAAAAGTGACAAGATTCCTGTTTTCCTGGTCAGTCTATCCACTGAGAATCCCATACAGGGACTGTAGAACCTTTAGAGAGAGGTTCATGCTGCATCCATCCTACCAGCCCTGCCTGACTTTGCCCAAGTAACAGCAGGTGATGTCAGTGTAGCCCTCTTTGTTCTGGCATGTGGGATCCTCTCAGTTCATCTTCCATATTATCACGTCAACCATGGCCAGAGGCCGGGCACCTTCCCCTTTGCTACTCCTAGGCTGACCCCTCAACACTCACTGACACCCAGGAGAAGGAGCTGGAGGAGCTGGAGCAGAGCCTCAGTCCGCCTGTGTACCACATGACACCCAGTGCTGAGAGTTTGCAGGGCTCATTTGTTTCCTGAGTTCATGTGGACCCTCAGTTGTCAGTCAAGCTCTTCACCTTGGCTCTTTGTGAGGCCTAGCACCACCCTTCTCTTTAACTGGTGGCTGGACCTACAGACTAAGGGTCTCACCTCCCTCAGACCTGATATAAAGAAATGCAGGGGAAGGTCAACCTGATAACCCATCTCTAAGATATCTTGGGCTGATACATAAAGGTTGGGATGGACGTTTTGATGTCCCCTTTATTCAGGGCTGGCTGGTTGCTTGAGACTTCTCTCATATTCTTCAACTGGGCCCATGGTAGACAACTCCTCACAGTAAGAGCCAGCCGCCCTGAGACCCAAAAAAGAGGGCATGAAGTTGACCTTATGCGAGCAAAATAGGTCGCCCAAGAGTGGGGACTGCTACACGCAGGGTGAGGTCCTATGGGAGATAGATCCAAACAGAATCCTGATTCAAGGTCTAAATTTGACGTCTGCTCGGATCGTGATTTCTGTCTCTTAACCTGGGACCACTTCTCTCATTTCCCTCTTTCCCTTGAATGCTGACTCATGTGCACTCCCATACAACACTTATCCTTAAGGTCTGCTGGCAAAGAAAATGGGGAGGATTCTCCGTGGTCTCACTGGTATAGTGCGGCATACACCCACAGTCATCAATGGTCTCTCGAAAAACGGCATAGCATGAAACCCTGCCACCAATGAGGGGAGGATGCCACTTTGACCTGATTGGTCCTCTCGCTGAGATGGCCTGGGAAGAAGTGAGTGCAACTCATCACGGCAACGTGCCCAATATCCCAGGGCTGAAAACAGTGCCCGGACTTCCGGTGGACCCTGTACTTTGTGGGAAGGGAACCCCATCCCCCACACTGTCACAACCCTGAATCCCCTTAGGCACTGGCTCCCCTTTCCTGATATGGAACGTCCTCCTGTAAACCGAGGCCTCACCTCCCCGAGACCATCCCAGAGGAAATGAGGGCCCAGTTCAAACTGCCAACTCAGTTCAGGCCTCCTTTCTTGAGTTTGTGAGGTGGCGGGCGCAGCCCCCCCTCCCTCAGTTGCCGGTAGAAGGGATGATACTTTGCTTTTTCATCTGCCTACTCTGCCTGGCGCCTCCTCTAGTTGATGGCTGGGATGCTGCTCTGTGCGGCAGCTGTTTTGTGTACTAAGCTCGGCTCTTAAGCACTCAGGCCCTCATCTTGAAAGCAGTGTGGATCTACAGGTTGTCCGTTTGCGGACTCAGGGTACACCCAGAGAGCAAAGACGGCCCTCTCACTAACACATTCGAGGCCAAATTCAGCCCGATGGCTTCCCTGGGGCCTCTCAGAACCTGGCAGTAAGGCAGGGATGGAGGGTGGGCTCACCTTTGCTCTGGGAGTGCTGTGGTTTGTGCAGGTTCCACTCACTGTCCTCCCCTTCACTGGAGGCTAGTCCAGGGAATCCGCCTTCAGCCGGAAAGGGAACGCCCCCCCGCAGACGCCTGGCAGGGCCCTTTCTTGGAAGGGGAAGTGGGTGTGTCCTAACTGGTAGGGCTGTCCGTGGTGCCTGAGAACTGAGAGCCACGAAGTGTTCCGGGGGATCTGGTTGCTTAGGAGTGCGTGGGCCTTAAGTCTTCACTCAGGGTCCACACTTTTGCATCTTTTGAGCCTCGGTTCATCCCTCTAGAGAGCCGGGTGGTCCCGGCTGGAAACCAAATGCTTACTCTCCTATGTTCCAGTGTGGCAATTGGAGCAGACAGCTTCTGATGTGCACCCTGGACCTTACAGTTCTGAAGAGAAGCGGGAAATCCAGCGAGGTTTAGGTTTTGTGGGATGGTCCACTCCATTAGGACTGAGTGTCCTTTCTTTGCCTCGGTTTTGTGCAAGACTACTGTCTTTGCAGCTTTGGGCTTCTATTCTATTGGGCAAGGCCCTACCCTCCCTGAGACCACCCACATGGAAGGAATGTACACCTCAGTATTAGCGCTTCTGTGTTCCTCAATGCCTTAGGAAGTCTTGCTCTCAGTGTGGAACCCTGTGTTTTTTTGGCACAGCTCCTCTTAATACTGAGGATACTCATATAGATTGATTCCTATTAGAGACCCCGTCATTCCTTCTGCCAGACAAAAACTGCCTCCGTTACACCAAGGCTCTCATTTACCTGGGACTTCCCATGCTCAAATGAAGCTGACATCTCTGTCAGGGGCTTCCAAGGAATGAGAGCACATGAGATTTGCTGATACCTTCTTTCATGCTGTGGGTGCTACTCCAATCCACTTCAGGGTTCTTACTTGGGCAGATGACAAATCTCGTAACTTTGGCCTTTGCTTTCCTAACTCTTCTCATCTAACGTTAATATTTCACTTTCCTGGAAATTCCATGTTTTAAATCAGGGGCATCCTCATATGGTCATGGTCTTTGATGCCTCCAAGCACAGGCCACTGGGCTGCTACTGCGGGACTTTACTGATGTAAGTGGTTCCTTATAGTGTTCCTTACTTAACAATCTTCACCATATTTCTCAGAGCCTTGAACTCTTTCTACTGAATGAAGATATCCTCTTTAGATTTTTGTTTTATGCTTATATTTTGTGGTCATTTTTTTCCTCATCTCTCAGTGATTGGAGTCTTCAAATTGGCTCCTGCCTCTGGATTAAATGCATTACAGGAAATGACACCTCCCTGCAAACACATGAGCATTTTCTCTCTTGCAAATCTGCCAGGAATGGACCACAATACCAGGAGTCATATAAACCGAGGAAACAGCAGCAAAAATCAGAGCCTAGGACTTGGGCTGTTCTGTCAGAGAAAAGACAGCTGATATGTGATTTCTCCTCACCAGCCATACTTAGGGAGCATAGAAAGATAGAGCCAGATGTGTGTGCATCCTGATTGACATTTTTCTTGTAGATTTCATTCATTTATTTTTATAGAAAGTGGAAAGGATACAGAGAAACATCAATGTGTGAGAGAAACATATATCGGTTGCCTGTTGGATGCTCCCAACCAGGAACCTGGCCTGTAACCTAAGCATATGCCCTGACCAAGAGTCCAACTGGTGACCTTTCGGTTTGTTAGACAATGTACAACACCAGTTAGGTGCTGATTGATCTTTCAAATATATCTTATGCTACATATATGGGTGTTCATATTGTACTAAGACCGATTTTTCTCTCTTTTTTATTTAGATGTTTTATTTATTTATTTTTTGATATTCTTATTGCTGCAGTTTTGGAATCCAATCCAGTGTTTGGTCACAAGGTTCTCCTCTTTATCTCTTAAGATATACACTTTGGAGTAGACATATGTGAATTAACTGACTCATGGTCAGCTGGAAGGAGTGCTCTAGTGGAATCTCTGGACAAGTCCAGTCCAAGGGTTGTATTCCCAGCCTTGTCACTTGTTAGCTGTGTGACCACAGGTACTTTAGGAACTCTGTGAGCCCCAGATTCTGCATTTGTGAAAGTAGTTTCTTAAACTCTGTCTCCTAGAGCTCCAGGATTGTGGCTAATGTATGTAAAGCACATTAAAGCACATAACACAGTGTTTAGAGTGCATTGCAATTTTGCACAATGCCTGTTATGTCCATGATTAGGATTATTTTGACCCCAGAAAATACCACTCACTTTTAAGAATTCAGATATCCAGTAGATATCAGAGAATGTGTAGCATGTTAGTACATGGAACTCCAAATCTGTCCAAATGTTGTTTACAAAGAAACTCAGAGTAAATTTCATCCCGTTAAATCAGATTTTGAGTGGGAGGGTGTTTTTCCATCTGAATACAACTCAAATCTGCTAGAAATTGGTTCAGCACCTAAGTCTTTCTTCCCACCTAGATGCCTTTTCATACAAACCTCCCCTACCTTCATTAATTTCACCGTCAGGTAAAATGTACTCCTCTCTTAGAGTTTGCCAAATGATAGCAACAATAGCAACATAACGAAAGCATTTTGAATGCAATTCTAATAGGAAGGGCTCTGACTCCCCACCTCACAGCAAATATTGCCAGCCCAATGGCTGCTGATGTTCCAAACACAAATAATCACCCTTATTTCACAGAAACTTTCTGGAGATGAAGTGCATACAGCACTTAATTTGTGCACTGTGGACATGTGCACTGGGACAGGAGCATAGGATGTGTTATATCCCTGTCCCAAGTGGCAATTTTCTGTGATTTACTCATGATTTCAAAGTAACTGATAGGAGAAGGTTTCCATTCTGGGAGTAAGTGTCAAACCTCTGATACCCACTATCTGAGGGTCTGACTCCTTCTCACCATTAGCTCAGCCTCATCTAGCTCAACATGTTGTAAATTACATCTCACCACATGACTTTCAGTTTCCCATTCTCTAACATCCTTGCCTTATAGCTTATACACTAGACCCTTCATTGGAAACTCCCTTCCTGCTTGTGACCCCTTATTTTTGCTGGTCCTTTCAATGCAATGGAGTAACTCACCATGTTTTTCACATGAAAGCTGCTGTTAGACTCTAAAATCCTAT